AGAGGTGTTCCTCCACTTAAACCAACCGATGTTGATTCTATGAGTTATATTATCTTCAATCTCTTCGTCATTTTTAATGATCGATCATAGATATCTGAATCCTTTACTAATTAGTATTTCTTGATTCTCAACCTTAACTTTTTCACTATGTCTATTATTTTTATTACTAAAATTGCATTGCATATATTCAGTCTTACTCTTGCTTTTTTTAAATCCTTTCAACTCGAGTGTCTCTTTTCAAATTTTTTGTTTATTGTTAATCCTCCTTCGAGTTTCATCTACTAATACAATATTATCTGCAAATAGCATTCACCATAGGACATTGTCTTGAATGTGCTTAGTGAGTTCATACATAATCGGGACGAATAGGTATGGACTTGGGGCCGATCTTTGGTGTAATCCTACTATAGTTGAAAATTNTCTACTAATACAATATTATCTGCAAATAGCATTCACCATAGGACATTGTCTTGAATATGCTTAGTGAGTTCATACATAATCGGGACGAATAGGTATGGACTTGGGGCCGATCTTTGGTGTAATCCTACAATGGTTGAAAACTNTTTCCATGGACCACCTCAGAAGTGTGATACTCTTCACTAGCTCTTGTTTTATTATTCTTTTTCTTACTCAATAAGAATATGTTTCATTACTGACTTTATCAAACCAAACCAATTCAAGCCTCATGTCCCAATCATTTGTGGTCGGCAGTATGAGTCCGTATTCGCCATTCATTTCGATCATGCGCTATACGTTCATTTAAGTTAAATATTTTTATATATTTTTTTTATTATTTCGTTCAATGTTAATTTAAGTCTACCCCTACTTCTAGTACTATTAAGAGAAATTCTATCACTTTTTCAAACCAATGCTTCTATCGGCCTCTATTGAACATTACCAAACCATCTTAATCTATTCTCTCTTAACGTATTCTTAATTAGAGCTATTCTTACCATTTCTCTAATACGGTCATTTCGTATTCTTTCCTGTCTAGTTTTTTCACATATTCACCTTAGCATTCTCATTTCTGCTGCACTCATTTTGTCACTATATGTTTTCTAGTTGTCCACTATTCTGTCCCATACAACATTACTGTTCTTATAGTTGTTCGGTAAAATTTACCTTTCAATTTTGTTGGTATCATTCTATCATATGATATACTAGAGGTGTTCCTCCACTTAAACCAACCGATGTTGATTCTATGAGTTATATTATCTTCAATCTCTTCGTCATTTTTAATGATCGATCATAGATATCTGAATCCTTTACTAATTAGTATTTCTTGATTCTCAACCTTAACTTTTTCACTATGTCTATTATTTTTATTACTAAAATTGCATTGCATATATTCAGTCTTACTCTTGCTTTTTTTAAATCCTTTCAACTCGAGTGTCTCTTTTCAAATTTTTTGTTTATTGTTAATCCTCCTTCGAGTTTCATCTACTAATACAATATTATCTGCAAATAGCATTCACCATAGGACATTGTCTTGAATATGCTTAGTGAGTTCATACATAATCGGGACGAATAGGTATGGACTTGGGGCCGATCTTTGGTGTAATCCTACAATGGTTGAAAACTCTTCACTTTCTCCCATAGAAAACCTAATTGTAGTTATAGTCCTATCATACATGTCATTTATCACCTCAATATACTTATTCGTCACTTCTTTTTTCTCAAGCACCCTCCATATTATATTTCTAGGCATTTTTATTATATGCCTTTTCTAGATTTATAAATATTATATAGAGATTTTTCTTGTTATTCTCTATACTTTTCTATGAGTGTCCTCATTAAATATATAGCCTCCATAGTTGATCTACTTGGCATAAACACAAACTGATTTTCCAACACTCTATTTTCAACACTTGAGCGACGTTCAATGATCCTTTCCCATAGTTTCATTTTATGACATCAATTTATTTTCCTATAATGATTACAATTTTGAGTATTTTCTTTATTTTTACAGATAGGTATTAAAATACTCTTTCTCCATTCATCAAGCATTTTTCTAGTAACAATAATTCTATTGAATAATTTTGTTAGCCACGATACCTCCTGCCTAAGCACTTCCAAACCTCAATTAAAATCTCATCTAGTTCTAAAGCTTTGCCTAATTTTGTTTTCTTCAATACAAACTCTACTTCCGAATTCTTTATTCTACAAAAGAACGTTTTATGAATGCTATCATTTTCTATCTCTTCTAATTTTCTTAAGTGATTTTCATTGAATAGTTTCTCAAAATAGTCTTTCAACCGATCATTTATTTCGCTCATCTTTAATTAAAATATTCGAGTCATCGCCCTTGATGTACTTGGTTAAAATCTCTTGTTTTTTTTTCTCCAGTTTTAGCTAGTTTGTAAATGTATTTTTCGCCCTCTTTATTATTTAGTTTTTTCGTACCACTTGTCGTAGGCTTGTAACTTAGCGTTTCTAACTATCTTTTTAACTCTTTGTTAGTTAATTTATATATTTGAAAGTTCTCGCTATTTCTGTCATTTTGTCATCTCTTAAAGGATTTTTTCTTTCCTTTGATTACATTTTGTATGTCGTCATTCTACCACCAAGTTTCTTTTCCCACAAGCCCTCTATCCTTTGACTTTCCAAGAATCTCTTTCGAAACTTTCCTAATGTCTTCTATTATCCTACTCCACATAATGTTAATCTCATCCTCTAAGTTCCATAAAGACTCTTTAAGCATTCTACTCCTAAATAGTACTAGTTTCTCATCTTTTAGATTCCACCATCTCGTTCTTCTTTTTCTAATGCTTCTACTTACTCTATGTTGCCCTTTAATATATAAATCTAGGATTATTAGCCTATGTTGAGATGTTAATCTCTCATCCAGGATAACTTTACAATCTTGATAAGCTAATTGGTCCATTCTTCTACTTAAGAAGTAGTTGACTTAGCTTTTGTTTGGTCCACTCTTAAAGGTTATTAGATGTTCTTCTCGTTTTTTAAATAAGGTGTTTGTCACTACAAAGTCATATCCCATTGCAAACTTTAAAATACTCTCTTTGGTTTCATTTTGATCACCATATCCATAACCACCATGCACCCTCTCATATTGTGTCCTATCTTTTCCTACTTGTTCATTGAAATCTCTATCTATGATTATCTACTTTCCTATAGGTACATGTTGAACTAATTTATCTATTTGCTCCCAAAATTTCTTTTTAATATTCCTCTAACTCTATTTGGGGTGCATAAGTACTAATCACTTTAATTATATTCTCTCCGATTACAAGTTTAATAGATATAATCCTATCTCCTTTCCTTGTAACTGTTACTATGCTATCTTTTAGGCCTTTATCTACAATTATTTCCCCTCCATTTTTTTGTTTATCTTTTCCTATTTGGTAAATCTTAAGTCTTGTATTTTCTATCTCTTTTGCCTTCTCACCTACTTAGTTTCTTGTAAGCATGTTATACTAATTTTTCTCTTGCTCATAGTGTCTACTAATTCCATTGTTTTGCCGGTAAGTGTACCTACATTCCATCTTGCTAATCTAAGTCTAGCATTGTAGACTAGCTTCCTTACCCAAACCACGTCTGTCCATGGCGTAGAGACCCTTGCCCATTTATCTCCACATTGGCACCCCTAACTTATTTGTCGAAACACCCCGAGGCAGGCGCAAGGCCCCTAATTGATTTTTCGAAAAGCCTTGAGGCAAGCACAATGCGTCCTTGATGGGGAATGATGTAGCATTAACGCATATATCATTGTTTGAACACATCAATTGGATCCAATAAAATTTTACGCTGATTGTCGGCTATCTACCGCAACCCTCCTCCTTTGTCTTGGCTCGAGACTGGCAGTGTNCAATGCGTCCTTGATGGGGAATGATGTAGCATTAACGCATATATCATTGTTTGAACTCATCAATTGGATCCAATAAAATTTTACGCTGATTGTCGGCTATCTACTGCAACCCTCCTCCTTTGTCTTGGCTCGAGACTGGCAGTATTGAATACAACATTAGCGGAGTTATTTTATCTCTAACTTTCATATGTTATATTTGGGGTTTTAAGGTGATCTCGTAGTTCCCTTTTGACTTGTGAGGCCCCTGGCACATGGATTGGCTTGTAATCTTCCTGTTGCAGCAATGCATGTCCAAACATAACATAACATTTTGCCATTGTATCATGAAAAGCCCCAGTGATCCTCATAGCCTTACCCCCATCTATGCCCACGACACTACGTGTGAAGCATTCTCTTATAAAGCAGGTGGTCTCATAGATAGGTTCAACCATATAATTAGGCCTGAGAATGGCTAGCAGCTTACTTTAGAATTCTAGGGTCTACTTATGTGGAAATGACAACTAATATCATGTTGAAGTGTCTTATGTCTAATTTTTGAGTATGTAAAGGTACATAGGGAAGGATTATTTGGTATATTTAGGGCCTACATGATGCTATATTGGTTAGCCATAGAAGTGGTCACAAGTTTTTTATAAATTCTAGATCTTTTGCTCTACAAAAGGAGATATTGAATAATGGAATGGGTACAAATTAGCAGTCCAATTTTTGCAAGCTTGACCTCATGTTTTGGATTGTCTCACGGTCTTATACCTATTTTCTATTTTCTGTTCCATATAGTTGAATCCAGTTCTTGCTATTTTGTTTTGCAGAAACAAAAGATGATATATGCTTTTCCATTCTTGTTACCCTTCTAGAGCAAAATATGGACCTGCTGTCATCCTGCATAATGTTGGAATATGTGTTCCAATCACCTGCCTGCCACCTCCTTTTCATTTATGGGAGTCATTTGTTCAATTTTATTCAAATTTTACATTACTCTTGCCAACATCCTTCATGCGGCTGTCATAGGAAGGATTTACCTGTGTCAAAAGTATGAAAATTTGTAGAAAGGAAATACTAACAATGAAAGAGTCAATCATAACCCAACCACTAATCTTTAGGAGGAATGCAGCACTTAAAGTTACTTGTGGTTGATGTAAAATGGGATTAATAAATTCATATTGTATATTTGTAGGAAGAACTGGATGGCCTTGCGAGGAACTACCATGAGCGCTTCAAAATTTACCGTGTACTCAATCAGGTCAGTTTTTCTTTCTTATCGTGTTTATCTACTATATTTAATTTCCACTCAATCTTTTTATGGGTGTTTCGATGTATTTGTTTCAGCTATCTAGAAAATGAAAACATTTTGAAAACAAAATAGAAACAAATAAAAAAATTGAAAATTTATTTTCAAAATATTCTTCATCAAAATATATCGAAATATGTTGAAACACTTCGAAAAATTCTGAAACATTGGTGGAAATATGTCGAAACATCTTGAAACAACTCAAAACATTCTAAAACATGCTGAAGTATTGAAATTTTGATTGAATCATTGATCATTTTAGTCTCTTTGCAAACGAAGACGTTTCAAGTTTCAACTGTTTTGACCGTTTCAGAATGATATATTGATCTATTTTTAATCTTTTCTCAAGGTGCGGGTGCTTCCCTTTTTTCCTTTCTAGATGTCTTGACTTGGAACAGAAAAATATTAGAGGCCCCTAGAGGGGCTCTTGCCCTACTCCCAACCTCCCCCCACTCCCCAAAAAAAATCAAAAAAAGAAAAAAGTGGAGCTCTTGGAAGTTATTGATGACCACAAATAGTTTTAGTTTAGTATGACTACTCATCTTTGTCAGCTAATCATTCAACTTAGTCGGTGAAACAAAGTTGTGTGATGCGCTCAAACTACCTGTCTGGCTTTTGATAGTTCATTTGATGGTTGCTATTGGCACGCTAAGCAATCACAATTCATTTGAGGGGTGTGAAACTATAGCGGGGGATGAGTAAACTTACAAGGACATCAGAGCTGACATGCTCGTGTGCCTTCCTGCAGGTTTATATGAGTATGAAAAAAGGAAACACGATTTATGTAGCTGAACCTAACCAGTTGAGACGAGATTTTGGTGAATTGAGTTTGAAAAAAAAAAAATGAGGACATGTAAGATGGGTCCCACTTTTATAGCCATCAGGTTGCTGCCCTTATAAGCTTGGGTGTAGGTAGACCTACTTAGGCGTTGTGTGTGAAGATGCACTAATTGGTCGCTTAAACACTTCTGCAGCCACCTGAAGTATGGGATGAAGGTGTTGGATTTGTATCCAAGGAAATGATCCAAACCCATTGCCCAGCACCTGCCTCTGATATTCAGGTATTTTTTGAACTCTTTACATTTGCTTTATGTGAATGCTTTAAACCTCGTACTTGATTTTACAGCAGTCATCACATTTACAAGTCATGATCAAAATTAATAAGAAATGGTAGTGATGAAGCACTGATTATTAAGGTGGAACCTGCAGATTCTGCGGTGTGGTCCACCACCGATGAACAAAGCGATGGCTGCCCACCTTGATGCTCTTGGATATGCACCGGAGATGCAGTTTCAGTTCTGATCCTCGTGGATTATTAGCCTTAATGGAAAACCACAATTAGGCCCTCCATCGTTTGAGCGAAAAACATATTTGCTCGGTTTGTAGTATAGCAGGTATCTGATGGGAACTCTAGAGCATTGGAAGAACTATGAACTTCATTGCTTTGAATCTTTAATAAAGGATTTCTCCTTGAATTTGATTGCAAGACGGTGTTATGTGGAATAGTAATTTGGTTTTTAGTATACTCTCCACTTATGTCTCGACTTTCCAACGCAAGGATGGGAAACACTGATGTTTGCTACCAACAATTTAAGTAGTTGAGTAATGTTATTTGGATCTAACTGTAAGCTTTATTAAACATTGGAATTTAGTTGTTAATTCAATAGTTTCAATAACGNTGTTTGCTACCAACAATTTAAGTAGTTGAGTAATGTTATTTGGATCTAACTGTAAGTTTTATTAAACATTGGAATTTAGTTGTTAATTCAATAGTTTCAATAACGTCACATTATTTTGTTAGTAAATTAGTTCAGATTTTTAAGTTATAATAGTATTACTCTTTTGGGAAAATTTCATCCACACTTCCTAAAGTTAGGTCTAAACATAATGATATCTTTTCTTGATTCTGAAATTTCATTGGCACTCGTCTGTTTATGGGGTTAAGAGGGGTGTCCAAGGGTCGGTCCGAAAAAATAGGCTCAAAGTTCGATAGGCTTGATAGTTGGCCTGTTCGAGTCCGAACTTAGTATTCTTAAAAAAAGGGTTTGAGTTTGTCCCCAAACCTATTACTCGACCTGAAGCCCGGCCCAAGAGCCAGCCTGTTAGCCTAGCCCAGCCCACCCCTTCTTTTGAAAAAAAGTCATACTTTTAGACCATTAAATTTAAAATTTTGAAATAAGTTTTCCAATATCGAAATTTGAAGTTTTAAAAATTTAGATATTATAAATAATGTATTTTTTTTTTTATGTATTAAACATATAAGTTTTAAATGGTAAAATAATACAAATGACAAATAAGTCAGTAGGTGTCAACTTAGTTGAGATTTAATTATTATTNTGTATTAAACATATAAGTTTTAAATGGTAAAATAATACAAATGACAAATAAGTCAGTAGGTGTCAACTTAGTTGAGATTTATTTATTATTTGGATGTAGTTCATTATTTTATTTTTATCCATTTTGACTTTACTTTTGATTCAAAAATATAATTTACACAAATATTAAATTACCAAAATATTTATTATTTTAAATAAAGATGCATATAAAAAAACCCGCAAGCAGGCCCGTCCACAGACCTGCCCAATAGGCTCACGGGTAGGGCTGTTAATCAAACTGAACTATTCGAGCTTGGTTTGAGTTCGATTCAGGTTCGGCTTGTTCAGGTTCACCTCGTTTTTTAAATGAGTCCGAACTTGAACAAGTTTTTAGACTCTTTTAAAAAACAAGTCTTACAAGCTCGGCTCAAACTCGACAAGCTCAGCTCGTTTATGTGCAAATACTCGGGCTTGACTCGTTTTCTAAACAAGTCGAATTTGAACAATTTTTAAAGCTCGATTAAGAAGTAAGTTTTTCAAGCTGGGCTCGAACTCTACTCAAGCTCGTTTGACTAACAGTTTTACTCACGGGTTGGGTTGTGGTTAGCCTACTTGTACCCGAAGTCCGACTTGGCCTGACCGATACCCCACTTGGGTAAGAGTTTGGGCTTTCGCTACCCAGGCCCAGCCCAAAAAAAATTTTACGGGCTTAGCCTAATTAGGCCCATGGACACCCCTAGGGGTTAATGGTGAGCATTGTTTTATAGAAATACCTCTTAGTGTTTTATAGAATAAGTTTCATTATCACCGACTTTACTTTAATAATACCTAATATTAATTTTGAAATTTTACTGCACTTTTTTTTAGTTATATTATATTAGTTTTCAAGTTTATAAATTTAATATTTAATTTTATGAAATTAATGTCTTTTATTTAATTTAAACTAAATTAACATTCATCTTATTAAATCAACACAAAATTGATATTTAATTTTATCAAATTAACATTCAGTTATGTTAATTTAATATTTTATTTCATTAAATTAACCTTATTTCTTTAATTTAATATTAAATTATTATTTAATTTTATTAAATCAACACAAAATTGATATTCAATTTTATTAAATTAAAATTTAATATATTAAATAGAATATTAAATTTCATTAATTTAATATTTAACCTAATCAAATTAATGTTATTTTTTTAATTTAGCATCAAATTAACATTTAATTTCATCAAAGTAACATTCAAATTTATTCAATTAACATTAAATTTTAACGAATTAACACTAAATTAATATTTAAATTTATCAAATAAAGACTAAATTTATTCAATTAATATTAAATTTTATCAAATAATATTTAAATTCTATTTGTGAAGGGTGATATGTGAAGGATAGACGATAGCTGAGAAGTTATTTGTGGAGTATAGGCGATATCAAATTAAGACCAAATTTATTTAGTTATTTAAATTCTATTTGTGGAGGATAGACGATAGCTGAGAAGTTAAAGATAGATAAGATTTTGACATTAACTTTATCGATTATAATTTTTATTGTAGAGAAATTATCTTAAACTATAAAAATTATAAAAACTTGATTATGTAACTAAATTAGTGATAATATGATGACTAATATTACAACAAAATTATCATGTGGTGTTTTAAAATGATAAAAATTCATTGAGATCAATTGAAAATAAATATAATTAATCTTATTTTTTGGTAAAATGTTAAAATTAAATTTTTTTGTTTGTATACATTTTTGACCTTATCATGTTGGTTGATATTTTGTGTCAAAACTAATTTCAATAGATATAAATATATTAGGGAAAAGATTGGTAGTATAGAAGGGTAATAAAGGTATTCTAGGAAAAAGAATTGCATGACATTAGCATTTTTGATTTGTTAGTAACGTAGATTCATGATAATGGGTGTGATTGAAGTGAACATACGAAATAGAAGAGAATGCATTGAAATTTCAGAATCAAGAGGGGTGTCATTGAATTTAGACCTAACTATAGGAGGTGTGGATCAAAAATTTTCTACTCTTTTTTATAAAGTTTGTTTTGTGTTTGGTTTTAAATTTTTTTTGTATCGAGTTTGTTTTCAATTGTTTAAACAAAAACATGTTTCATAATGAAGTTGTCCCTATCCAAATAGGGTGAAACGCTTGGTTGGCCAAGAATATTTATATATATATCTATACTACTAATAAAAATGGATTAAGTAAAAAAATTTTGATTTTCTTATTTATCTTTCAATAATTCTATTATATTTATTTTATCCTTATAAAAGTGGCATAAAAGAAAAACTTTTGATTTTTTGATTTATTGCTTGAATTGTTTTCCCTAATCTCCATGCATGAGCCTGGATTGTGTATATATAGCTTATATAAGTTGGTGAGTGTCACTCTCCATCGGGGTTTAAATGTAAGAAATGAAAAAATCGTGTGTGTGAACAAAAATGTGTGTGTGTGCAAAAGTGCTCCCTAAGCATAAAGAGATTTGCAATGTCGTGTTTTACTTGAAATGGGTATTCCAAGGTCATCTTCTCAAGGAAGAAAATGTCAAATACTTTTGAGGGTGATTTGTAAAGAAATGAAAATTGAAAAATCTTATGAATTTTGTTTTGGTGAGTTGTGTTTTGAGAAGTATGCAAGAAAGTAAGGTTGGCTAATCCATAAAGGTCATTCCAATGAGAATGTCAAATCGACTCAATTCATTTAACCAATGATGTCTTGGTGTTTGATTGATTTGTAAGAAGTGAGCGACTAATGTGGTTTTGTTGGACAAAAGCAAACCCAGTGACAAGTCTACGGTGTATCAAGAGCCCACAACCACGTCCGCACTCAACTTAGTCAAACAGACACTTTACACTATGAGGAAGAATGAAAGAGAGTTGATTTCACATACCCAAGAGGAAATTCCTCTTGGATTAGCCAACTTAAAGTTTAGCTACTCATAATAAAGGCAAAAACCAACATAAAGTAAAGAGACATGGTAGTGAAATGAAGCATGAAACTTGTATTGATGCTAGAAAAGGTTTAAACTACAAGAGCAAAGTCATTCATACCTACAATACAAAACTTGAAGAGAAAATACCCAATTATAGAAACGAAAATGCAAGAATACTTAACTAAGCTTGATTACAATTTAAATAAAAGAGTTTAGAGGGAAAGATTACAAGTAAAATAAATTTTACTACTATGAAAATGGTGATAGGAATGTAACAATCTAACTTTCTCTCTCTAAAACTTCATCTTCAACCTTGGAGCTTCTCTCTCTAAAAGCATATAAAATCTAAATAATGGTGTAAGACTCTCCAATTTTCATCCATCCTCTCTCCCTTAACATATGTGAACTGAATTGGAATGATTGGAGATAGGTTGGACACTTGAACAAGCAAAATCAGTCAAACATGCTCCTCCCATGCTTTCTCGACCACCCCTTTTCTCTTTCTTGCTTCTCTCGCCTCTTTTACTTCAAATCTAACTTTAGGGGTTAGGAGAGTATCATGGGGTGTCAAACATGTCAGGGTATGGTTTGAAGGTCAAGAGGTGGGCCCCTAGAGTAGGTGGAGTCGTGTGAGCAGGTGTTTGGCAGATTTGGGCAAAACCTACCGGTAGAATGTAAGAAAACCTATCAGTAGGTTTTTTCCAGTAATATTTTCTACCAGTAGATTGTTGCTTGACAAAGGTAGAAGATTTTCAGCAACATTTTCTACCGGTAGATTTTGAATCTTCTATTGGTAGATTTTGAATGACTTCTACCAGTAGGTTTTGATTGTCTTCTACCGGTAGGTTTTGAATCTTCTATCGGTAGGTTTTGAATGACTTCTATCGATAGGTTTTGCCCTACTTTTGGATTTTCTTGGTTCCTTGAGGTCCCAAGTCATCCGTAAGCAGTCCCTTATTTCCCATTGACTTTGAGCACTTGATGGAAGGCTTTATACACAACCTTACCTGCTTACAATCACACGAATCTCCATT